GATAAAATAAAAATAAAATAATATATAAATAATAAAATATGAACAATAAATAAATAAAATAAAATAAAATTAAATTAAATTAAAGTAAATCATGCCACACAAGTTTCCCATTCAAGTTAATGCAAGTTATGATCATTTCATTTTATCAAAAAGGATAAATAGTTAGAACTATAAACTTCATTGTATAATATAAATAGAAGTACTTATAATAGACTTAATGTCCAAAATTATAATTTAAAAAATCTGAAAACATATAAAATTATATCAAAATGTCAGATAATCTTTATTCTAAGTTTATTTATTTAGAGCTCATTCACTCATTTACTTTTCCAATATATATTTACTGAAAATTGATGGAAATACAATAAAGAAAGTAAAGTTATGGTCCCTACCCCCAAGAAAATCCATCTACTAGGGCTGAGAACAAAAACTTAAGGGGCGCCTGGGTGGCTCAGTCGGTTAAGCGTCCGAGTCTCGATTTTGGCTCAGTTCATGATCTCATGGTTTATGAGACCGAGCACCACATCGCCTGCTTGGGATTCTCTCTCTTCTCTCTCTCTGCTCTTACCCTTCCTAGCATGCGCAGACTCTCTCTCAACATAAATTAAAAAAAAAAAACTTAAAAAATAAGTAGTTTATAGCAAATGAGTTCCAGAAAACAATGCATCAGACATTCTGAAATTGAATGATGGCTGAGGGCTGGCACAGCTGGGGCAGGCTTCATGATGGAAGAGAGGCTTGAGCTGCTACTTGTAGGAAGGACAGGACTTTGTAAATTGGGGTGAAGGGAAAGAGTTGGTAGGCAGAGGGATTGCTGTGATCAAGGAATACAGTGTGACTATCTTTCCCAAGAGGTTGAAGGTTTGCCAAGGGAAATAATGGGAGAATTGATTAGAGAAGTTTAGGGTCAGAGGATAAAGGGACCTGATTTTTGAAGCCGGAGTTTTCAACACTTTAAGGCGAAGTTAGGGTGACAATGTGTATTCCCTTTAGGGTGCCTATTGCAGTCTCTAAAAGAGATACTCCTACTCTCCTCTCTCAGTCTGTTTGGTCTGTTACAACAGAATACCATAGATGGGAAGACTTATAGACAACAGACATTTCTTTCTCATAGTTCTGGAGGCTGGGAAGTCTGAGATCAAGGCATTAGCAGATTTGGTTTCTGGTGAGAGGCTGTGTCATGGTTCACAGATGGCAGTCTTGTCACTGTATCCTCACAAGGCTGAGATAGGATGGGGTAGAGAGCTTTGTTAGGTTTCTTATAAGACTCCAAAGACTCACTTCCAAAAAGCATCATATTGGGTGTTAAAACTTCAACATATGAATTTTGGGGGACACAAACATTCAGTCTGTAGTGGCTTCCACCCTGTGATTCTGGTTTTCCCCTTTCCCTTTCTCCCCAGGTGAGAATGTATGTTATGTAATGAGGGACATCATTGTTTGGTATGTGCTGCACACGTGAATCTTATGGAGTTGAGGATAAGGAGGTTTCCTGTAGGGAATAGGAAATCAGTGAGAGCTTTTGAACATCTGGGTAATATGTACAAAGAAGAGAGTATTGGCTATTGGTATGTTAGATTTGGTGGGAGAGATGGAAGGCAAGGAAATGTTAAGTGCTGACTACAATTTAAGAATTGTGGAGGCAAAATATAAATAAATAACACTTGGTATCTGAATGTTTGATAGCAGGGAAGATGGAAGCCAGAAAAAGAAAAGTGGCCCAGGGACCTATATTAAGCATAACCTCCCTTTTAAACGTATTTTTTTTTTATTATTTTACAGACAATAAAATCTGGAGATATTTAATAGAAATCCAAGCGATATAGGATTTAAGTGGAAAAGTTGGGCTCTGAATTTAAGTCTGTTTGACCTTAAATTCTGCTTTAATGTGCAATGGTTTTAATTTGGGGTTTCTAAGACTCTAAAAGAAAAAGGGACAAACGGAATAGTTTTAGGGATACGATGAGTTTTTGAGGTTTGATGTACTGGTAGGTTGTTCAGCAAGCATCTAGAAAAGTAGCATTTGGCTTTAGAGAGTGGTGGGGCATTAATTGTTTGCATAGATGAGAAGAGAGAGAGGATCAAGTTTTAACTAACAATAACATGTCCAGGTTAGAATGAAATGGGACCAGGTATGGAAAAGTTAGGGAAAGAGTAGAAAGTTATAAGGAGAAATAGGAAGTGTAGCATCACCAAAACAAGAAAAACACTTGAATTGAGGAAAAGATTGTCAAAGCTGTCGAATATTGCAGATGTCATAGAGACAGACCTTCACTTGGCAATTAGGAGAAAAGAAGTTGCAGTCAGTGGTTTCAGAAGAGGATTTACCCAGGAGCAAGTGTGTAATGAATTAAAAGACAAGATGGTGAACTTAGGGAAAGAGATCGTCTACTGAAGTCTGTAGACCCTTATTTTGAGATCTTAAAAAAAAGAGAAGAATGTGAATGCAATTAGTGCACGGTATCCAGAAGAAGGAGCAAGGTCTAGAGAAGGTTTTTTGATAGGGCAAACTGGGCATTTTTATAAATTGATAAGGAAAGAGCCAGTTTAAAGGTAGAATATTGAAATGCAAATGAAGAAAGGAAAATGATTTTTCTTTCTTAAAGAAACCAAGTTTTTAATTTGAAGAACAATAACAACAGTAAATAATATCTATAGTCAACTATTAGTTAAATAGAATAAGCTAAAGGCCCTTCTTAAGCCCTCCAACTACAAACGCCTTTCCTCCTCCATCTTCCCTGTTAATAGTTTGGCACAAATGTTTTCCAGCTTCCTTCCTTCCTCCTTTCCTTCCTTCCTTCCTTCCTGGCTTCTCTCTCTCTCTCTCTCTTTTTTTTTTTTTAAAGTTTATTACTTATTTTGAGACAGAGTGTGAGCGGGGGAGGGGCAGAGAGAGTGGGAGAGAGAGAATCCCAAGTAGGTCCCACACTCAGTGCAGAGCCCAACTCTGGGCTCGATCCCACATACCATGAGATCATGACCTGAGCCGGAACCAAGAGTCAGATGCTCAATTGACAGAACCACACAGGTGCCCCACTTCTTTTATTTAATAAGCATTCCTCCCCACCCCTTTGCATATGTATTCAAATATGCTTTTCAGTGGCACCTAGGGGGTACATGTGCACTCTCTCTCTCAAAATAAATGAATAAATGTTAAAAAAACAAATATACTTTAAAAAAATTAAATGATGCCATATATATTTTTTCAAATTGCTACTTTCAGTATGTCGATCATGAAGACTTTTCTACATCAACACACACACACACCAAATATAGCTCATGCTTTTTAACAGGTGCATAATGTTCTTTTGTTTGGACAGATCATAATTTATATTTATAAATATAATACATATTATAATATAATATTTATATTACTCAGAAATCCTTCATTTATAAACCCTTCTTGGAATCTTCATTCTAAAAAGGGGTTTCGTGAGCATGTTGGGCTGAATGACAGCCCCTGAAGATATCTTCACTCTAATCTCTGGAATCTATGAATGTTACCTTACACAGTAAAAGGTGCTTTGCAGATAGGACTATTGATTTACTCAGCAGAGTTGGCTATTGAAATGAGAAGATTATCCTGGATTATCTCAGTGGGCCCTAAATATAATCACAAATGTCCTTATAAGAGGAAGGGACAGGGAAAGTTTACCACAGAAGTTCATGTGATGACAGAAACAGAGAGAAACAGTGCCAGACAAAGAAAAGATGCTGTACCACTAGCTTTGAAGGGGGAAGGGGCTACAAGCCTGAGGAAATGGATTTTCCCCTGAAGCCTCCAGAAGAAACCAGTCTTACTGACACCTTGATTTTGGGCCCTTTAAGACTCATTTCAAGTTTCTGCCCTCAGGACTATACAAGATAAATTTGTGTTGGTTTAAGCTGCCAAATTTGTTGTAATGTAGTATGACTTCATCTGCACTTGGTTGCATCTACGGACCTTATTTCCAAATAAGGTAACATATGTATTGGAGGTTAGACCTTGAACATACCTTTTTGAGGGATGCAATTCAACCCACACACCTGTTAAAAAAAAAAAAAAAAGTCAATTGGTTTTAAGTTTGATTTCTGGGAACTTGCCAGAAACTAAGTAATGCTGGAATTGTTATTGCCTCATTCAAATTACAACATTCTTGCTGGATTTGGGATTTCAGGAAATCCCAGAGGAAAGAGGGAGAGAAGATGGGTGGGGATTTAGAGGATAAGGAGTTTGTTATGGACCAGAGAGCATCTCAGAATATATACATGCTGCATATCATTTTTATAAAGTTAGTGAACAAAACAACGTATAGAATGTGAATATGCGTAACCTATATTTGAAGACTCTAAAAAAAAGCAGCAAAGTAGGAGGAGGACGGAAGAGATGGGACAGTGAGGAGCACACAGGATTCTCCAGTGTTATTAGCCTACACTGTTCAATATCTTTTGTAAGTATATAAAACAATGTATGCGTTACGCTTAATGTAAAATTGTGCCTTTATAACAACATTTTTAAAAAATGGCATAGAGATGGTAGGAAATATACTTTGAGAACGCAACTCATATACTCATATACCAAGCCTGAAATCAACACTGGAAAGCGGCACCGTTACTTCGTTAAGGTAATTTTTTCAGGTGTTACTTGGAAAAGCTGACAGATGACAGAGTGCTGGGTAAACTCACTCTAATTATGAAACCGTGAGTAAAAGAACATGTGCTTCCATGAAACTTAAGCACCAACAGTTCAGGAGGCGCACAGCGTTAGCAAAAACCATTGCCGGAACCATCGTTTTCACCATAGTTCATCCCATTTCCTGCGAAATTCTTCTCGAAAACGCAGACTCTGCGAAAAGACGTTTGCCCGATTCCAAAATGACTGCTGCGGCGCCCACAATAAAAGTATAGCGCAAGACCGGAAGTTACGCAACCTCATAAGGCAGCGCGCCCTTACCCGTGAGAGAGTTTCCGCCATTTTTGAAAATCGGGAAGGTCCGGGGCCAAGTGTGGTTGCAGCTGCGATGGCAACCTTTGCCGTGGAACCCCAGGCGCCCTCGTTGGGTGAGTGAAAAACTGCGTTTCCTCGCTGGCGCTGCGATCCATGCCATAGGACTAGGAGCAAGCAAGACTGAAAGCCAGTAGTCATCAGGCTCTTTGCTAGTTTCAGTCGCGGGTACGAGCCCCTGGTTCACCCACAAGTTTTCAGTTGTCCCCCTGCTCAGGGCGTCATCACCCTGCCGCCAGGAAGGCGGCTCCGGGAAGTTGCGGGCCTGGGTAGGGCGTGGGAATGGCTGTCCAGTGGTGACTAAGCCGTTTTGCCCCCCAACACGCGGGCCGCATTCGTTCTGCCCATACCTGAAACTCTCCGAGCGCCGAGGACGCGGTGCTGAGTTCCTGGATCCGGGGAGGCGTCGGTGTAAAGGAACGGATCCGCGTACACGTGGGTGGGCGGTGACCTGGAGTGTGGTTACAGCTCACCGTTCTTTGGTCACTTGGGCTTTTAGTTTCTGTTGGATTCCTACCTGCCCTGGGCTTAGCAAAAGGAGTCTTTATTAGTAGAAACTACGGTTGTGCGACGTTTAACCCCTTGATGGTAGCCATGGAGATACTGGCGTTAATAGGAAGCCGGGAGTTGGTATGATTTTCCCGCCTTTATCTTGGGGAAGTGACTTTGTAGGAGGTCTTTTTCTCTAATCAGTTACGTAATGAGTTTTTTAAAAATTCATTCCCATTGTTTAACGGAGAGCCTTGCTGAAAGTGTTGTTCAAAAAAAAATCTATCAAGTTAACAGGATGTAGATTTCCTTTTTGTTGCTGAGTTTAGGCACTTGTGAGAACCGTCAAAATTTTTAGCAGAAAATTGCTATCATAGAGACGCATTTGAAAATTAGGTTACAACTTTTGAGTTTGGAAAAGAAAGCAAGCGCGATATTTGTAGAACGAGGTTTTTTGTTTTTGTTTTTTTACATTTGAAGGGTGTAATAGTGCTTGCTGTGCTTTGTGCAAAATGTTTCTTTTGGGAATGGAGTTAACTTGGACTGTTTTAGAATTAGTCATAAAAAACTAAATGCATAACGTCAGTGCCGATATTCTGCTACCTTTAAACTTAAGTACAGATGTTTGTCTAGGTATTTATGTTTTGTATTATTTTAGAGATCAGGAAATCATTTCCAGTCCCAAAGTTTTCTATTCAACAAAAACATTTTGGAGTGCATATTTCTTGGGGTTGTAAATGTGAATAAACCCGTCTCTGTTTATTGCCTCATCAGAAATCTGACATTTGCTGATATTAATTGTTCAAGTTCATATATTGCAGGTGAAGAATAAATAATTTTCCCAGCACCTAATGCTATATGAAAATCAAGGATTATTTCAGCAAACAGTGCTAGCTGAATTAAGACCTAGTATTTAACAGATTTTAGGTGTGCAGACTGAAGTCGAATTTAAGACTTGCATGATGATTGTTCTAGCTCTCTAAGTGAAATTTAGCCTAAGGGGTGATAAGTGACAGGCGGATTAAGACCTCTCTGTGCTCTCCTCACTCTGGTGTTTAGTGTTACCACAATATATATACAGATATATCAAAACTTTTCTTAATTCTTCTTACAATGCCATATATGTTTTTTTTTTTCTTTGGGGGATGGGAGAATGAGGTAGTTGGTGGTACCTAAAACTTTGTATTTACTACTATAAGTTTCTAAATATCTTTTCAGAATTTGCTTTTGTTTAGGCTTTTGGTGTGTATATTCTTTGGAAATATGTACTAGCAACGTAGTAACAGCACTTTAAAACAATTACAATATAGTTATGGTTCTTCATACCTTATTTCAGTATTTGCTTCATTTTTTTCCCCTGACTTTGCCTTTTTCCTCTTTTATACACTTGCATTGGCATTGTTAATACCTAAGTCTACTATAATGAGGAAGGATAAATAATTGACACCATTTGGATAGCAAGAAACAAATTCTTGAGACTGCTTAGAACTTAAGGAATAGTTAACCATGTAAATAATACATCAAACGTTTGGCCTTTTTTTTTTTTTTTTTTCAACGTTTATTTATTTTTGGGACAGAGAGAGACAGAGCATGAACGGGGGAGGGTCAGAGAGAGAGGGAGACACAGAATCGGAAACAGGCTCCAGGCTCTGAGCCATCAGCCCAGAGCCCGACGCGGGCTCGAACTCACGGACCGCGAGATCGTGACCTGGCTGAAGTCGGACGCTTAACCGACTGCGCCACCCAGGCGCCCCAAGTTTGGCCTTTCTGAGTGCAGTGAATCACGTTCAGTTTTGTTACATAGTTGAAAACTTAAATTTTAATAAGTAGAAATTGCAAATTCTACATTTACACTTTAGTCACTCAGTTTTTGCTATTTCAGGATACCCTTAGAATAATAAGGGTTGAGCACTTACTGATATTAGATACTGGGTCAAGTGCTTAATTTGCTGTAATTCTAATCAAAGCTCTGTGAGTGGATGCTGTGATTATGCCCATTTTGCCAAGAGATACGAACCCAGGTCTCTGAGTCTAGGGCCCATTTTTTTTTTCATACTGTGCTAATTTGCTCTGAAATTAGAGTAGGTTATAGCTTCCTTTTCTTCATAATGGGAATAATAATACCTATCCTGTAAATTGTGAAAATTAATTTTAAATTGATGATTGTGAAGTATCAACTGTCTTTAAATTGGTTTTATGTTAGGGAGATTTTTATTGATTATTCCTAACTTTAAAATGATTTTTAAAAATGATCCAAAAATAAAGTTTCCAAATCTTTCAATGTTTCTTAGTTTCTAATCATCACTATTATTTCATGTGTGCTCCATGTGCTCTAATGTATGCATGATTACACTTTTATCGCAATAATGGTTTATAGTTCTTGTTTATGGAAAAGAAAAAAATGGAACATATAGCAAGCTACACCTGTTGTGTTTGATTTGCTAAAACTTCGTGTAACTAGTGCACCCACTCTTTCCTTGTTTTTGGTTGTTGCATAGGTAGAAGCTGACCCAGAAGTGGAAAGAAGTTATTTATTTTTGAGAGAGAGTGGGAGAGGGTGCGAATACGAGCAGGGGAGGGGCAGATAGACGAAAAGAAACCCAAGCTGACTCCCTGCTGTCAGCGCAGAGCCTGATGGGAGGCTCAAACTCATGAACTTGAGCCAAAATTGAGTGGGCCGCTTAACCAGCTGAGCCATCCAGGCATCCCAATAAAAGTGGGTTCTTAAATCTGTGAAATAATATAAACAGGAACAGGGGTGCCTGGATGGCTAAATTGATTGAGCAGTTCGCGTCATAATCTCACAGTTGTGAATTCGAGCCCTGTGTTGGGCTCTGTGCGGAGCTTGCCTAGGATTCTCTCCTCTCTTTCTGCCCCATCCCCCCGCTGCTCTCTCTCTCAAAATAAATAAATACACTTAAAAAAAATGAACTAGGACAATTGTAAGATTAGTATTGTTAATAAAAATACTTTTACATTTTTATAAAAATAATTTTTGTTGGCTTTTAAAATCTCAACTTTGCTTCTGTAATATGTAAGTTTTGATTAAAGTCTCAAAATTTTTTATGCTAGCTTCTTACATCTTTTTGTTAGATATTGTAACATTAAAGTCCTTTGTTTTACTTTATTTTTTGATTAATTTAGGATCTGAACCAATGATGCTAGGTTCACCCACATCTCCAAAACCAGGGGTTAATGCCCAGTTCTTACCTGGATTTTTAATGGGAGATTTGCCAGCTCCAGTGACTCCACAACCTCGATCTGTCAGTGGCCCTTCAGTGGGAGTAATGGAAATGAGATCACCTTTACTTGCAGGTGGGTAAATGCTTGAAATGGTTTCTTAGTACTATTAAACCATGTATTAGAATTTTAAAAAGAGTAATGATGCAACATTCACCCTTATCAACACATTTATTAATTAAAACAAATAAGCAATGCCTCTATTTTTGATTTTTAGACTCTTGGAATAAAGGTATAAGTAGTATAAGCTACTGTAATTCTAAGAACCACTCATTAAAACTATGTATACTGTATTTCATCCGATCTAAGATGCCCTTGATTGTAAAACTCACCATTATTTTAAGTAGTACTAAGAAAGAAAAGCACTAAATATGATACAATGCCAAGATACTGTTTTTTATAAATTATCCATATCAGAGATGTTAAAGTGTGGGGGAAGAAATATCATTTAACTTCAACTGAATAACTTAATGCATTTAAATAGTTCATCTTAAATGTGATAATAGCAAATATTCAGTCAAAAGAAACTAAGTGAAGTGTAATCAACATACAGTGCTATATTAGTTTCAGCGTACAGCATATTGACTTGACAGTTCTGTATATTACCCAGTGCTCACCATGACAAGTATAGTCAGTCACCATCTGTCTCCATACAACGTTATGACAATATTGTTGACTGTATTTCCTATGCTGTACTTTCATCTCTGTGGCTTATTTATAAATAAATAACTGTAAGTTTGTACCTCTTAATGCCCCTTGTCTATTTTGCCCATCTTCCCACTCACCTCCCTGTGGCAGCCACCAGCCCTCTGTATTCAAGAGTCTGGTTTGTTTTGTTTTTTGTCTGACTTCACTTACCACCCTCTAGGACCTTGATAGATGAATGGATAAAGAAAATGTGATATATATATATGTGTATATATATATACACATACACACACACACATATACATATGTATGTATATATATATATATATACACATATATATGTATATATATAAAATGGAATGATGGAATGTTAGCCATAAAAAAGAATGAGATCTTGCCATTTGTGGTATAAGAAATGTAATTTGAAATGTGTAGATATAAATTCTACTTCTAGTCATAGTGAATTAAGATTCTCAGCATGTTTAGTGGAAAGATTTATTCTACAAACTATGGGGAAGTTTTTTACACAGAATTTGCAGTTATCAGCACAAAATATTATCTAAATGCAACACATATCTTACAAGACTCCTTTAGCAAAGAAATATTTTAAAAGATAACTTTGGGGGCGCCTGGATGGCTCAATCAGTTAAGCGTCCAGCTTTAGCTCAGGTCTTGGTCTTGCAGTCCCGTGAGTTCGACCCACGTTGGACTCTGCTGACAGCTCAGGGCCTGGAGCCTACTTCAGATTCTCTGTCTCCCTCTCTGTCCCACCCCCACTCTCACTCTGTTTCTCTCTTGCTCAAAAATAAATAAACATTAAAAAAAAGAGATAACTTTGAGGTTTTCACTATGAGTAGTGAGAATTAGCTACAGAAATGGTTGGATTCCAAATGTGAGCTGATATCCTTTTAATAGATGTTTAAATGGAAAACTTCTCACTTTGTTCTTAAGGTATTATTTGGTTTAAAGTGGTTTATTATTTTAAGATTGATCAGGGACAATATAAATTATATTCATAATTGACTTATTGTTATTCTGGATAGGTTTTTGTTTTTTATACATTTGACCCTTGAACAACACAGGGGTTTGGTGTACTGACCCCCTGGACACTTGGAAATTCTAGTATGATTTTGACTCCCCCAAAACTTAACTAATAGCCTGTTTTTGACTGGAAGGTAATCTTCCCAATAACATAAATAGTTGATAACTATATATGATATAGTTGATACACTGACATATAACTACATATGATATAGTTGATATACTGATAACATAAACATTTTGTATATGTATTATAAACTGTTCTTACAGCAAAGTAAGCTAGGAAAAGAAAATGTTACTAAGAAAGTCATAAGGAAAAGAAAATACATTTACAGTACTACACTGTAAAAAATCTGTGTATAGGTGGACCTACATGTGCAGTTCATACTTGTGTTTGTCAAGGGTCAAATATGTATTTCAAATGTGTTTTTGTTGGAGTTACTATATATTGAGTACTTATAAGCCAGACAATACCCTAAGCATATTATATGTTACTTTCATTTTTTCATCAGTCTTAAAGGTTAGGTAGTAGTATCCCTGTTTTTCAAAAGGAGAAACTGAAGCTAAATGCAATAAAGAACTTCCTTAAGCCTACTTTCTTTTTTCTTAACCTTTTTAGATGTTTGTTTTTGAGAGAGAAAGAGAGAGACAGAGTGTGAGCGGGCAAAGGGTAGAGAGGGAGAGGGAGACACAATCTGAAGCAGGCTCCAGGCTCCGAGCTGTCAGCATAGAGCCCGATGTGGGGTTGAACTCAGGAACCGCAAGATCATGACCTGAGCCGAAGTCGGACGTGTAACCGACTGAGCCACCCAGGTGCCCCAAGCCTACTTGTTAGTAAGTGACAGAGCAGGAGGTTAAAGCTCAGATTAGTTCTGTTTTATAGTCTATGCTCTAAACAGCTTATGATGTACTATCCAAGCTTAGACATTAAGTCATAACAGAGGTTCAGGTCTGTTTCACTATTTGGCATTGATGATTCTCTGATTTATAAAGGCATCTTTTTTTTTTTAAATATTAATTTTTGAGAGAGAGAGAGAAAGAATCCCAAGCATGCATCTTGCTATCAGTGCAGAGCCCATCCTGGGGCTTGAACTCACGAACCATGACCTGAGCTGAAATCAATAGTCAGATGGTTAGCTGACTGAGCCATCCAGGTGCCCCTTTAAAGACCTTCTTATGTCCCCAAAGTTGATTCTTTTCCTATATATATATATATATTATGTATTTCAATATATTTCTATTATGAGGAACATGAATGGGATCTCTTTAATTTTGACAAATTCCACATTAGGCGATTATATTCAAGTGTATATAAACTGGAGCTGTTTACCTACTTTCAGAAATATGATCAGATTTTGTATTGAAATGTTAAGGATTTGTAGAGAAAGCAAAAGCTACATGTGTTTACAAAAAACTAAAATTTCTGTTTTCTTATTCTGAAATTTTTTATTCACACAGTCTATGAATCACCAGCTTTGGCGTAGCTGGAAGCTTGTTAGAAATTTAGTGTCAGGCTCCACCTCACATGTTCTGAATCAGAATCTGAATTTTAACAAGATGGACTCTTAAGTGTATTAAAGTTTGAGAAGCCCTAGGAAACAAGAGTTTAAGTTGATATTTTATTTATTTATTTATTTAAAAAAAAAATTTTTTTTTTCAACGTTTATTTATTTTTGGGACAGAGAGAGACAGAGCATGAACGGGGGAGGGGCAGAGAGAGAGTGAGACACAGAATCGGAAACAGGCTCCAGGCTCTGAGCCATCAGCCCAGAGCCCGACGCGGGGCTCGAACTCACGGACCGCGAGATTGTGACCTGGCTGAAGTCGGACGCTTAACCGACTGCGCCACCCAGGCGCCCCTAAGTTGACATTTTAAAGATACAAATGAAAAAGGGGCACCTGGGTGGCTCAGGCTCTGATCTTGTGGTTCATGGGATCGAGCCCTGCATTGGGCCCTGTGCTGACAGCACAGAGCCTGCTTGGGATTCTGTCTCTCTCTGCCCCTCCCCTGCTTGTGCACTCTCTCTTGCTCTCTCAAAATGTATAAATGAACATTTTTTTTTAAATGTGTAAATGACAAAAAAATCTTATCAGAAAGGTGGAAGACTTGTTTTCTCACCTGACTGTTTTTTGTGCTTTGTAGGTGGATCACCACCACAACCAGTTGTGCCAGCTCATAAGGATAAAAGTGGAGCCCCACCAGTTAGAAGTATGTATGATGATATTTCCAGTCCAGGACTTGGATCAACACCTTTAACTTCAAGAAGACAGGTAATGTACACACTCCCATTTATGATCCACAGTAATTTCTTATTTTTATGTGGACACACAGCGAGGATCTGTAATTTGAAATGTTTTTCTGAGGTCTACTTTGGTGTAACTGTGTTGCACAGAATAACTATTAAGGACATTTATCATAAAATCTACTTACATTGTGTTTATCATGAAATGTTCTTAAAAAATATAATAGAACAGCCGATTGTTTTCGCATATTGGTGATTCTGTGGTGTATTATAGGTAGGTCTTATTTACTTGTCCCTGCCCTAAACCTAGCAATACACACATAGAAATGATTATGGTTTCAGTGATTCCAATTGTTTAAAAAATTCAGTATGCATAATTTTGTGAAGGAACAAATAAAGAGTTAGGGTTTCATCCAGGTGTAGGGTACTTTGTAATGATTTGAGATCTTTGTTTTAGGAATGGTTTTATTAATATAAGACAAATATCCTTTTAGAGCTATGTTCACTGTTTACTTATTTTACTGAAAACGCAGCCTCCCATATTTATGAGCTGATGGTTTAGTTTGTTCCAGGTGCAGGTGTTCTGATGGTGATGTTTAATTTTGGTTGGTGTGGGTGTAGGCATTCTGATGGAGTTATTTTCAGTCATAGATTATGCAAGGTAGAGATCCTGTGTTTTGATGGGACTGATAGCTATAAAAGAAAATGATACTTTTGAAGTACCTCTGGTATACAGGTCTGATCTTAAAACTTCCTGTTTTATGTATTTTTTTCACTTCTTCCTCATGGCAAATTTGTGAATTAGTTGTTATGAGCTTCATTTTATCATTGAGGACACTAGGGCACAGAAAGCTTAAATAATTTGTCAAGAGTAAGGCAACTAGTCTAGTGGAGCCAAACTTTAAACCCAGGCAGTCTTCAATCTAGAGCCAACGTTTGTAACAGCCATGCTGTCCTGACACTACTATAGTAACTCTGGATGGTCAGTTTAAAGGTAGTATGGATTTTTCTTTTAAGTAGGAAGGTTAGTAGCTTATATAGTCACAAATATTCTATCACTATTGTGCTTCAGCAGGACATACAGTTACATAGTGTGTCAGTTAAACTGATAAGTTGTTTGTATAAGGATATTTCTGCAGTTTGGTTTGGTTTGCCTTTGCCTGAATCAAATACAGCATAGTTGCTAGAAAGTTTAAGAATGGTAAAAAGCATCTTCTAGTAAATTTTGTCTATTTTTAGACTTGGTATGCCTAGCATAGTAGGCCTACTTGTCAAGCAAAGCAGAATTAATTCACCGTGTAAAACACATTACCTTCTCTTTCCGTCACTTTTAGAACTGCCCTACTGTCCAATACAGTAGCCATTGGCCAAATGTGGCTGTTGACACTTGAAATATGGCTAGTCCTATACATAATTGAGATACGCTGAAGTGTAAAGTACACACTGGATTTTGAAGACTTAGAAAGAATGTGAGCTATCTCATTTAGTTTTTTATGGTGATTACATATTGAAAATGATGATAATTTGGACCTGCTAGATTAAATAAACTACTTATTTTTACTTTTTTAATGTGTCTCCTATAGAATTTAAAACTACTTATATTGCTTATGTTCTATTTGGACAATGGTATTCTAGCCAAATCAGAATATTCTGGCCTGGGATACTTTTCTAAAAGGTTGATAAGTAAATTTCATGTTTGGTTTGAGAATGACTGGCTTATAAATTTATGCTAGTTTTCATTACTTCTCTGATAACCGATGCAAACAAAGGTAGTTTACAGTTATTACTATGTTCAAAATGTTTAAAAGTCTTGTGTTATAATTTGTAGAGAATGTTTTTGATTTAAAAGTTGGTAAGAATGTTATTATTAGTTAAAAGCCCTCATTAGTTTTGCCCCAAGACTTTGCTTAGCCTCTCTCTAATCGTGAAAGAAAATGGCATTAAGAATTGAACAGTACATTTTGTATCTCTCTTAAAGTTATTTCAACATTTGGTTCTGGTTGCTAGATAATAGCTAGATTTTAGATTTCCTTAGTTTAATCAGAATCTGTTACCAAAAAATCTATTTCTGTATATTTACTTCTAGAGAAAGTCTGTTCTCATTCTTGATTAGATATTGCCTTTGTTTAATCTTTAATTTTCTCACATTTAAAGGAATTAGTATTGATAATTTTCTTGCTTTGTAACTTTCTACTAGTAGAGACAGAGGCATACTGTCTTTTTTATTATATAGACTGATTTGTTTAAAAAAAAATTTTTTTTTTAACATTTATTTATTTTTGAGACTGAGAGAGACAGAGCAGGAGCAGGGAAAGGGGCAGAGAGAGAGGGAGACACAGAATCCGAAGCAGGCTCCAGGCTCTGAACTGTCAGCACAGAGCCTGATGCAGGGCTCAAACCCACAAACCGTTAGATCATGACCTGAGCTGAAGTCAGAGGCTTAACCAACTGAGCCATCCAGGTGCCCCTATATAGACTGATTTGAATCTGTATTATTTCATGGTTTGTAAATGTCTGCGTAAAAATAGAATTCTGCCATCTTTCTGTTTTTCTGTGTGTTATTTCAAATATTGTGCTTTAGGAACTAAAAACAAATAGCAAAGTTATTTTCTACTAAGAACAGTGTCTTTTTATTTAATGTAACTTAACTGTAAACAAAGAATATGCTAAAGGGTATAACATATTTTAGAATAATACTGCTCAACTTAAAGAAAAAAGGTTGGAGTACTCTTAGATTGTGAACTAATTAGAGGCATCCTTAGTACCTGGTAGACATGCAGTTGTCTATTGAATGAAACCTTTCAACACTTACTGTGTTTATGTTCTGGTTAGAACTTTGCGTTTTTACTCTAACACTTTATTCTATTTTCATGTAGCCAAACATTTCAGTAATGCAGAGTCCTCTTGTTGGAGTTATGACGACTACTCCTACTCCTGGAACAGGTAAAGGCCTTTTAACGTCAAAGACTATTCTGTCTTTTTTGAATGAGATAATATAAGACTTTGTTGATAATTGGCCAAAATTTTTTCTTTCATATTTCAAACTTGGAGACTTTGTCAAATGTTAATAACTTCATTCAGAAGGGAAATACTTTGTATATTGGATTTTTTTTTCCTGAACTTAGGTAGGATGTGATATTCTCAAAATATTAAGAGTTTAAAGAAAATATGTACTTAGTAGTGTTTCCTCAGTTACTAAAAACTGTAATTTAAAAAAGAGGTGTTGCAGTTGGGAAGAAAAGGAATACAGAGTCTGAGCAATAAAGATGTTTTGAAAGCTTTTAATGTATAGCTATAAATCTAAATGTCATTGACTACAAACAGCCACTGATTATATGTAGTTTTTCTTTAAGGTTAATGGTATTTTTATCACCATCAGCATCATCATTAGCACAACTCTTGTTACATATTCATATAATCTATCAAATGATCTCTCAGTAAATATATGAACACATAACCATATGTGCCAGGCCCTGGGAAACTGAACAAAATAGGTAATCCATACCTTTATCGAGTTTGCATTTATTTACAGAATTTACATTTATAAATGAAATAATTAAACTATAAAGTTTGTTAGAAGGTGATATATTTTATGGAGGAAAATTAAGCAGCAAAGAGGGGGAGTTAGCAGGTGAGGGCTTATAGGTTTAAATGGGGGGTAGTATATTAGTTTTCTATTGCTGCTGTGACAAACTACTACAAACTTAAAAGTGGCGACAAACTACTACAAACTTAAAAGTGGCTTGCACAACAGTTCTGGAGGTGAGAAATCTCAAATGAGTCTCAATGGACTAAAATCAATGCATTTGTAAAGCTGTGTTTAGTTTATGGAAGCTCTAGGGGATAATCTGTTTTCTTGCCTTTTTCATCTTCTACCCACATTTCTTTGCTCGTGATCTCCTTTCTCCATCTTCAAAGCTAGCAACTTTGCATCTCTCTGATCATTTTTCTGTAGTCACATCTCCTCCTTCTCTCTTTTAAATACCCTTGTGAGTACAGTGGATCTGTCTGGATAATCCAGGATCATCTCCCTATTTTAAGGTGAGCTGGTTAGCAGCCTTAATTCCATCTGCAACCTTAATTCTCCTTTGTCATGTAACATAGCTTATTCCCAGGTTCCAGGGATAAGGACATGGGCATCTCTGGGGGCCATTATTCTGCTTCCTACAGAAAGGTAGAGGAAAAGTGACATTTACTCAGAAACCTAAACTAAGTAAGGGAGGGGCGCCTGGGTGGCTCAGTCGGTTAAAGTGCCCGACTTCGGCTCAGGTCATGATCTCATGGTTCGTGAGTTTGAGCCCCGCGTCGGGCTCTGTGCTGACAGCTCGGAGCCTGGAGCCTGCTTCGGATTCTGTGTCTCCCTCTCTCTGCCCCTCCCTTGTTCATGCTCTGTCTCTCTCTGTCTCAATAATAAATAAAACGTTAAAGGGGCGCCTGGGTGGCTTGGTCGGTTAAGCGTCCGACTTCAGCCAGGTCACGATCTCACGGTCCGTGAGTTCGAGCCCCGCGTCGGGCTCTGTGCTGACCGCTCAGAGCCTGGAGCCTGTTTTGGATTCTGTGTCTCCCTCTCTCTCTGCCCCTCCCCTGTTCATTCTCTGTCTCTCTCAGTCTCAAAAATGAGTAAACGTTAAGAAAAAAAATTTAAAAAAAATGTTAAAAAAAAATTAAGGGAGGTGGGGACAGTGTTCTAGAAAGAGAAAAACGTAGAGGCACTGAGGTGGCAGTGTGTCTTGGGTGTTCAAGGGGGCTAGTGTGAAATGGAGTGAGGGGTAGAATACTAGGAAATGAGGTCAGAAAGATAACGGGGGACCCATAGTACAGGGCCTTGTATGTCATGGAATCAACTGGTTTTTACCCAGAAAAGGCGGAAAACAAATAGGATGAGACTGCTGCTGTGGTGATTACAGACTTTTGGTTAAGGGGGGGGTAGAAGCAAAACCAAAATAAGAGGCTACTACTGCATTAATCCAGTTGAGGGACAAAGCAGGGTGGGAAGGAAGAGAAAGAGGAACAACAGCAAAAAAGATGAGACAGAAAAGCCCAGCAAGACAGTAGATTTAAAAGGAACCAGATCAACCATTATATAAAATGAAATGTACTAAACACTGCAGATAAAAGACAGAGGTTATCAGAATTGTTAACAAAAGCAGTATCCAAAGACAAGTTGTTTTTTTTTTTTCATCTTCTGAGTCCAGAGTTTTTCAAGCGTCTGAATCTTCACTGGTGGCAGTGGTTTAATAGTCACTTACAGGTAGATTTCTGCTACCAGTTTGATCAAGGCTATTTAGGCTTTTTCTGTACGTTCCTCAGATTTCTTCTACTATCCAGCCACTGCCTGGTTCCAAAGCCACTTCCACATTTTTAGGTATTTGTCACAGCAGCACCTGGCTTATAATCAGAATCTGTATTAATTTTTGTAAGTTTATTTATTTTGAGAGAGAGCACACACAAGCATGGGAGGGACAGAGAGAGAGGAAGAGAGAGAACAGCTCAGAGCTTGACTCTGGGGCTTGATCTCACAAACTATGAGATCATGACCTGAGCTGAAATCAAGAGTCTAACGCTTAACCGACTGAGCCTCTCAAGTACCTCATAATCTGTGTTAGTTTAAATTTGCTGCCTTAACAGATTATCACAAATTTAGTGGCTTAAAACAATACAAAACTTTTTTTTTTTTTTTTTTTTTTTTTTTTTTTTTTTTTCAATTGTAAGTAATCTCTACAACTGTTGTGGAGCTTGAACTTGTAACTGTGAGATCAGGAATTTCATGGTCCACCGACTGAGCCAACCAGGCACCCACCCCTGTTTTTTCTTTTTAAAGATTTTAAAACAGATTTATTTTCTCACTTTTTTTCTTTGCTTTAGAGCTCGGGTGTCAGCAGGGCTGTGTTCTCTTCGTGAGGTTCTGGGTATTAATCCACTTTCAAGCTCATTCATGTTGTTCGAATTTACTTCCATGTGGTTGTAGGATCGAGGTCCCTGTTTCTTTCCTAGCTGTTGCCTGGAGGTGTTTCTCGGCTTGTAGAGTCTGCCCTTATTCTTTGGCTTGTGACTCCCTTTCCATATTCAAAGACAGCAGTGGTTGGGGCGCTTGGGTGGTGCAGTCGGTTAAGCGTCCGACTTCAGCCAGGTCACGATCTCGCGGTCCGTGAGTTCGAGCCCCGCGTCGGGCTCTGGGCTGATGGCTCAGAGCCTGGAGCCTGTTTCCGATTCTGTGTCTCCCTCTCTCTGCCCCTCGCCCGTTCATGCTCTGTCTCTCTCTGTCCCAAAAATAAATAAACGTTGCAAAGACAGCAGTGGCAGATCAAGGTCTCTTTTATACTTTGAATCTCTCTGACCTCCCTCTTCTCTTGTATTTCTGACTTGACTTTCCTGCCATCTGCTGCTATTAAGGGCTCATTTGATGATACTGGGCCTACTGGAATAATCCAGGGTAATTCCTTATTTTAAGATCCAGCTAATTAATAACCTTCATTTTATCCAGCAGTACCTGGACTAGTGTACTAGTAATTCATTTGAATTACCAATGAATTAAACCAGGGGACAGAAACTTTGGGGGTATATCTTTAGATTTCTGTCTGCCACCTATACCATAGTGAACAATTTAGGTGTGTTACCTCAGTCTTAGTTACATATGTGAGGTGGAATGTTCTGGGGGAGTTCAGGTATTAACAGTCTTAATCTGATCATGCAAATAGGTAGACGACAATGTTTTGTTACTTGACTAGTCACTTGACTAGTTGCTACAATAGTGACTCTTCATTATTCAGTTGAGTCAGTTAAGTCATCCCAGGGACATTGAAAATGCAAAAACACAATGTTAAGTAATGTACTTCGTACTTTAAAGGTTCTCTTAGTTGTTTGAAAAGCATACATTATAATATTCTTATTGTTGTCAAGTAGAAGAGCACATGATTAAAGTTATTGAAACATCCTTTTGTTATTTTTCTCAAATAGTGTTAACTTCTGTGAGGTTCTTGTATTTTCATAAAAAATTCTAAAAGTACAAGAACCATGGTAGGAAAATAGTATGTATCGTAAATTGGCCACTGGGAGCCACTGCTGCTTCTACTTTGAGGTTAAGGAATTTATGTTTAGAAAGTCTTCATGTGGCATATGTGAAAAAGAATATTTTTGAAAAGATATGATGGGCATGAGGATCTATCGTGTGATCAATAATAAGCAAAAAAAAGGGGGAAAAGAAGTTGACTTGAGAAAATTGAAAGGAAAATGTAGACTTAAAACTTAGAGCTATTTTTTTTTAGCTCCTATAGTGTTAACCAAATGAAAATTTCTTGTATAATTTGTAAATTTTAACTTTCTGCGATAGACAACTTTTATAAAGAGATATCATGGGGTTTAGTGATGTTAGTGTGTTTAAGCTTAGGTCTTTGTGTCCAATAAGGAGTTTTTTGTTTGTTTCAATTTTGTAAGTGATGTTAAAATCTTTTTAAAAATTTTATTTCTGGTGCAGGGAAACCTTGGTCATATGATAAAGTGAGAAATCTAGATTAGAGAATTTCAGAAACTGTTTTCAATCATGGCATATTATTGCCCTGAGTATGTTTGGCCTGTTTCCCTGTCCGCACCTCTCAGTTTTCTTCTGCTGCTATTTAAATATTCCTCCGTTTTTCACACTCTTTTAAATTTTTTCTTAATTTTTTTGAACTGCTTTCATGTATCTATCCGTTTTCTTCTCAAATGGTATACCACTTTTGTCTACTGAATTAGAATCCTTATTTATGTTAGCATATTGTTTTTTTTTTTAATATTTTTTTCAACGTTTTTTATTTATTTTTGGGACAGAGAGAGACAGAGCATGAACGGGGGAGGGGCAGAGAGAGAGGGGGAGACACAGAATCGGAAACAGGCTCCAGGCTCCGAGCCATCAGCCCAGAGCCTGACGCGGGGCTCGAACTCACGGACTGCGAGATTGTGACCTG